GTTTAGGTTTATGTGCTGTAATTGCAAGATTTGGTGGTGTTATTGCACCGTATGTTATCTTATTGGTTTGTATTTTTTTTTCTCTCTCTCTCTCTTTTAAATATCATTTTGTTATTTTTAAGGTTTTTTTTTTAAGTAAGTTTACTTAATAATTTCCACTCATTTTTTTTTCCTTTTTTCAGTGTAATCTACATTTCTGCAGAAAAAAAAAAAAAGAAATTTTCAATCTCAATCATTCATTAACAGTTTTATTTAGCTTTTATCACATATTGTTTATCAGTATGACCCATTAAATATTATACTTATGTTATATTCCATTTTGTATTAACAAATTATTTATTTAAAAATTATTTTTGAAATTTTTATATTAAAATACTTTAATTTCCTGCAAACATATCATATCTTAACTATTACTATCTCTTTTTCATTTATGAATCTTTCAGGGTTCAATGCATGCATTATTACCAACTATTCTTTTTGGACTAATAGCAATAATTACCGGAATTTTAACATGTATTCTACCGGAAACAAAAGAATGCATATTACCATCTTCATTGGATGAAACGGCACAAACAAAATATCATTTATCGAAATCTCCAATATGCCAGGAACAATCGAATCTACCAACAACATCATCATCAATTAATCAATTTGATTGACAAAACTAATTAGTGAAATAATTGATTTCATGAAATTCAATTGGAAATGATTAGTGTATACTAAAAAATATTTTAATAAAATAATTACAAAAACATAAAAAAAGAATGATAGAAAGAACTAATATAATTTATTCAATTATATTAGTATAAAATATAGTGAAAGGAAAAAAAAAAAACGAATTAAAATTTTAGCGTTTGCATCAAAAAGTATATTAGAATCAAAAATGATAATGAAATTATCTATGATAAAATCAAAAATAATGCATATTCGTAAAGCATTACCATTCCATTTTCTCTTTACATTTTAAAATAACCATGATTATTTTCAACATAATACTTAAAATAATTCATTACTAATTTTAATATTTTAGTTACCTGACGATAATTTATCATATCAGTGAACGAATTAATTAATCATAATGAATTTAAATATGTAAATAATCATATTTTTTAAATCGCATTTATTAGTATTTGCCTGTTGTCTAAAATATAATTTAGTTATCTAACACTGGTATATAATATATGGTAAGTTATATGTGTGAATGTAAACTTAATTGTTATTATTTTTTAAAATGAAAAATTTCATTTCCTTTCCTTTTTTTTTTTGGTATATAGTTTCATGATTAACTGATATCATTAAAATAACAATTTGTAACTTACATACCTCACGTGAATTCTTCTTTCATCAATGCGTAATTATTGTAAAATTAATGAAGAATTATGGAAATTATTGTTAATAAATATCATACAATACAAAGAAATAGATAACGTGAAATAACAAATGTAATTTTAAGAAATGCAAATAATTTAAAGGTTACGTGATATATTGCAGTTACGTGAAAAAGCTATATCCATCGCAACCTGTCTCTCAACCTGTTCACTTGTTTGTTTGCGTGTATTTGTTGTGACGGTTAGAGGTTAAAGATTAGAGATTAAAGGTTAGAAGTTAGACGTTGAGGATTGTGTTAAATTCAAGTTCCTTTTTCATGTTAATCTGGTAATTGTGATGTTTTGCTAATCATATCTATGAAATTTATAAAACTTGATAACTCTCCATTACTGTAAAAAGCTTGTTTACTTTACTTATTGCTAAAAGTAATCAATAAAAGTATTATGTATATACGTTCAGATGTGAAATAAAAAACATCGATCTGTTAAATGATATAAATAACATTAACATAACATTAACAATAATAAGTGATAAACTGATTAAATGAATGATTAGCGAAACAATTTATAATTTGTTTTTTTTTTTTTAAACTTCATCACTTTTCAACTTTTACAATTATATCATAGTTGTTGGAGGATTACTTTTTTTTTTCTCTACTTAAAAACAAATTACTATAATACATTAATCTATTAGAAATTAGATTTGCAAGAAAAAAAAAAATTTTAAAGTTAAAAAATTGTACTAATTTATATCTCAACAATTTTTCATTCATTTTTAGGTTATTGTTGAAATTTTCCATAACTATATGATTTTGTTACAATTTTAAAAATAATATTTACTTTTTTAAAATGATATAGCATTTATGCTGTAAATTTCATTGCAACCCTACAAGTAGTGTAGCATTTGGAGTTGTTGATACGATATACATTTGACATTTGCAATAAATCTGTATCGATGATATTTCATGATAATAATGAACTTACTAATTGATTAATTGAGTTATGGCAAATCTCTACAAATTAATTAATGAAAAATAAATATGTGATATTTTATATGACAAAGTTTATATAACACCATAATTATTCATCATTTCAAGCTCATTGTTTTATTAGAAAATATTTCAGACCGAATGAGTAATGTGGTACGATTTAACGAAGAGATGGGTTTTCTGGAAATATGGGATCGAATTCGTAAACGAATTACAAGTGATCAGTGCGAAATACAAGAGTTTACAAATATGCTGGATAATTTGATATACTACTGGGAATTAGCTGTGGAAAATTGCAAGCCTAAGAATCGTGAGATATATAATGCACTTTGTTGTATCCTTCGTGAGGTATGTTAATTACAATTGGAAAAGAATAGTAATGAATAATTTAGATTAAAAGATCACAAAAAAATAGGATTCTAATTTATACTTTATTTTTGTTAGTTTTAAAAGAATATAGTTAAATCATAAACTGTATGTTTTTATTAGCTATGAGATAAATTATTTAAATTAAAATGAAAGAATTAGACGAAGTGTATTTGATATAGATTTGGCAATGAATAAGTTTCGTTTTTAACGGTTTTAATATTTTAATAGTAGCAGCCTGATTTAGTGTAGCAGGAAAGACAGCGTAACTTATAAAGGTATCACATATCATTTTCCTATTTCTAGATTTTATAATCGTTAAACTAACGTTACGTTTTCTTTTTTTCCTTCTTTAGTGAGAAAAGGTGCGACGAAATTTTGATTTTTTCAGGAAGTTATCAAAAAAAAGGAAAATTTTCCTGAAACATCGAAATATTTTGGTGAATCAATTGCAACTATCGATTCAGGGTTTGGCACATTCAATTCAGAATCACCTACAAAGTATAATTCGAAATTGATTACATTAAATGATACAGATGTTAATCAAAAGGTAATGTCTCACCGACCAAAATGTATCAAATCAAGATCACCAAAAATATTACTAAAAAATGTAACATATGATGCTACTGTCATCAGGAATACTTTTGATGGTAAATTAAGAAATGTAAAACAGTCTAGAAATACCTATCCATATATAGTAACAGCAATAATGTGTTGTTTTGCTTGTTTGATTGCCGTAATACCGCATCGTTTCTTTCCGTGGTTTTTCACGTTGATATCTTTTAATTCACCACCACCATTGTAAATGAAAAATATGTTCCGAAAATTATATGCGTAATCATATGACAGAGTATGAGTGATTTTTTTCCTCTTCCTCCCGGTATCTAAACGTAGGTCACTGCATTCATTGTTCTGTAATTTTACATGTAAAAAGCTAATATGCTGTGCAGTTTCCTACAATCATTAGGACTATTATTATTATTATTATTAAATAAAAACAATATTGTGAGAGATTTGTAAAATACTTTAGGTTGATTTATTCACTTAATTGCACAAGTTTGTAGTTTTTTTCCTTGTAAATTATGTACATATAGTACCATTTTTAAGAAATGTTGAAAGATTTTTTCAAGTTTCATTTTTAATCTCAGATTGTTTTATCTTTCACTTTTCTTTTAATTGAATTAGGCTTTATGTGTTACCAATGTTTTGCTTTCTTCTTTGTTTAATTTTATAAATTATCTCAATTTCTAATCTTGTTTGTCACTTATTTGCTAAATGTACATCATTTTAAATGCTTTAAGGTGTTAGGAATTTATGTAAAATGTATCTTTATCAGTGCTATCTTTATTTATAAAATAATTTTTCCGCTTTGAAAGAATCTATTCAATAATATTAGTTAAATTTCTTTAATAAGATTTTGATATTTATTTAAACAAATAGCATTTTGAATTAAGCAAATTAAACTATTGAAAATACTACATAGTAAAAACAATTCAGTATAATTAGAATGAGTAAATATTCTCTTTAAATAATTTTGCAATATATATTGATCACTTTACGACATGTCCATATTATTGTACTCACAGTGCTTTGTACACGGAGTGCTAATATAATTCTATTTTCTATAATTTTGTATTTTGCTTTTTTTTTTTTTGTGAAGCTAATGAGATAAATGTAACGTAACGTATTTTTATCTAACAATGCAACATATAAGAAATAATATTCAACGTACGTTAATTACGTAATGGAACTTTACCATATCTCATTGTTTGTTTATTTACATCATTGATGTTTTCCCTTTCTTTTCTCATACTACTAATAATAATAATCAATGGAAAATGCCAATTTCTCTTCCCTCCAACTGCTGTTGATTAGCGCATAGTGCTGCAACAGAGATGGGATGCATAATTTTCGTATTGGGGTACGTCGTATGCGACGTAACGTTTTCTAATGAGATTTAATTGGAACCAATGCTTCATTAGGAATGGGTTGTGTATTTGTGTTCTACGTGAGTTGTGGTTTCTCGGGTTTCTCTGAGGATTAGGGCAAGTAAGGGTAGTTTGTGTAATCGGTTCATGTTCATTAAGGGATTAGGATTTCTGGAACTGATTCTTAAAATTTATTTTACTGTTGGAGGAGAAAAGTGTCAATATCATTTTCTTTAATTTGAGAAAGGAAGTGCGTTTTATAATGCAAATTAAATTACTAACATTGTCAAATATTTGCTTGTTTGTGTTTGTTATAGGGAATTTGAAGATAAAGAAGTCGAGGTGCTTTTTTGTTGAAGTTGGAGTCGAGCAAATATTACTAGCGAAATATGGTAAATTTTGTTAATTTATTAAAAACTATAATCTGCATTTAAGGACTCATTTATAGACTCCATGTAGTCAAATGCCATAAGTTCATTTGAGGGTAAGAAATTAGAGCAGGCAGCATTATGTTAATTTATTTGGCAAGCATTTTCATGAAACATTACTGAAGTACTGCCAATTTTGAGCTGAAACGTGACATTTCTGTAACATGATTGAATTATTTAAATCACTGGAAGAATGTCGAGATATTCATTCTTGACCCCTTCTATAATAATAAAGGTTCTAGTGGTTTACACTTCAAATTTTTTATGGGTATCGGTCAAGTTTTTCAGTCTACTGCTTTTAGTATCATTTGTAATACGTTCGGACACTATCGAGAAGTGCTTACTGCTTCTTCGATTCTTCATTTAAGCAAAATTTACTTCTAGTTTGCATTTAACTAAGTAACTATGGCTAGAAAAGAAAACTTGACGGAAGCGATTATCAGCTCATGATAATTCTTGATAATCTCATGATTGATCTTTCTTGAATTTCTCACCTACAGATGAATTGTCGCGATGTTAAGCTTTTATCCCTGGAAAAATTTACACAGGTGTTCTATAAAAGTTAACTCTTGAAACAGTACCTGGTGGAAACTTCGAATTTTTCTGTGGAATTCAGGAAGTGTAGCATACACTTGAAAACTGAGGGTGACTTCTTGGACCTTTTCTATGTATTTATGACTGTATACAACTTTTCAACGTTTTATGGTTATTGTCGTTTTAGGAGTTAATGAAATATAATAATATAGTAAAGTTCAAATATTCATTATGTTTGAGACACATAATAGTTTTGCAAGACGATCACTTTTAGTCTTTCCGTTATATTTGAGATTCCGTAGTTAAAATAAAGTAAGAGAGTGAAGTTATGATTAAACTTTATTCGATCGTTTTAGGGTGATTCTGTAGTAACAATTCGGACGAATAAAGTGATGACTAATCGCTTGTTGGCAAGACGGCAAATGGTGAGAATTTGTTTTTGTATTTATCAGTCAGTCAAGTTTGCATTAGTTTAAGCCATTTTGCTGAATTATCCATGGAGAAAACTGTCATTACTCATTGTAAGAAAAACGATCGTTTCCAATAATCTGACTTCAACCATTTGATGTTATATGCATTCGATGGCGCTCTCAATGTTTTGTACTTGTATTGTTGAGATGGATGACTTCGAAATATGCATCTTCTTATAATTTATTTTCCTATCTGTTAACTTTAGCTTTGGTTTCAGGACAGTCTAATTTTGGTAAGCTTCTAATATTTTCATATCGTCCATCTTCAACATCTAGTATATTTAATATATTACAGATCTATTCTTCCTGTTTTGGTAATTCATGTTTTTATGGGAATGTCTTAATTTTTAGGTGGTCGAAATCCTTCATCCTAATCGAGCATCAGTTCCTAAAGTCGAGGTTCGTGAAAAGTTGGCTCAGATGTACAAGACCACTCCTGATTTGGTTTTTACCTATGGTTTCCAGTGTCACTTTGGTGGTGGAAGGAGTACTGGTTTTGCTCTAATCTATGATACAGCAGATTTCGCCAAAAAATTCGAACCAAAATATCGCTTGCTGAGAGTAAGTTTCTCATCCAGCTTTTCCGTCATCAACAATGCTTCAAGTTCAATTGCTATGTGACGTGCATTCCGAATACTTATGTCTCGTAGTGCTTCCATCAGTAAGCATGTGTTTCACGTAATATGAGCAGTTTCCGTTTATTTGATTTGTGCAGGGTAAGTTATTGTGCTACGTTTTGATTTAAAAATAATGAAGGAAATTGTTGGAATTACAGCAAACGGGCACGAAGGCTGAGAAATCAGGTCGTAAACAGCGCAAGGAGCGTAAGAATAGGCAGAAGAAAGTACGAGGAACAAAGAAGACTAAAGTTGCTGCAGGGAAGAAGTAATTTTGTAAGCGAATATTATGGTGTGACAAACGCCATTGTTTTTGTTATTAAAATTTTTTATATTTAATCAAAAGCAATGTAACCATAGTAAACACTGATACTCCAAATCTTTTTATTTCTTAAGGCCGGAATTTCGAAGACATTGTCAGGCAGTATAATTCAGAATCTGCATTTGTTTTAAAGAAAGCTTAGAAAATGTGGATTGTTTCATTGTTTACGGAATGTCTGTTACTGTTTAGCGTAAGCATCTGAAAATGGCTTGAAAATGAAAATAACAAATTTCTGGTAGGAAAAGGCGCACGTTTAAAATTTTTGCTTTGGAATCCATCAAGTAAAGCCATTTCTTGCATCATCTTTATCTAAACTTCAAATTCCAGTTTCCAAGATGTTTTGGACACTAGTATATGACCATGTTTGATTAGGGACTTGTGAGCTACTGAAATATCTCGAGACCCTTTAAATGGAAATGCCGTAAGTTGAACATTTAGGTACGTGAATCAGGAATCCATTCTTCATAATACTTGCATCATTTACTATTAACGTATACATGTAAACAAACGAATGAGGAAATAGCTTTACCGATTTGTTTGCATAAAAAGGCAAGAAAAGGTACATGGATAGCCTATTAAAGCAGCTTAAAATGTTTCTCAGAAACAGCAGTTTTGGAGGCAATTCACGGACCAATATATGGCAATCGTTACGACCGGTTACACCGGTAATGGAAAAGCAAGAAGGATATATACACATTATAATTTGGCAATATACATATAGTTGTCAAATTTATATAATTGGCAACTGTCGTAGAAAGTATAGTAGAGCCGGTATTTCTTAGAGAAGGAGTATAATGCAACTTCCAGAAATATGCTCGACTAAACTGACTGAGTTTTTCTTTTGCCAACCCAAATTATGGATTTGTAATAAGCGCAACCTTGCCCACTAATTTTCACTAATTTCATTAGTCACAAAAATTATCATGCGGTGAGGAAGTGATAAAGAACATGTTAGCTGAATGGAAATTTGTTTCAAATTACAGCAGTTTGAAAATTTTCTCCAGCAGAGCAGCTTTCGTTGTATCACTCAAATTTTTGTATTCTTCTGTCTGTTTGAGGGCTTTTATATCAGCTGGCTGTTTGAAGGTTCGCACACAAACATCCTAAAATATTAGTTGAACCATACATATATTAGTTATAATTATTAGTTTGGGTGTTAAACCATATATTACTTTGAATTGCATGAAATCGCTAGAAAATTTTTTTTAAGTCAAATAGTAGAACTTGTGACGTTGCGTCTTGAGGATTTGAGTTTTCTGCATCGTGTCACTGGGATGGAATAGCCCTAATGAATGAATTTATAAAAGAGGAGAGTAATAATCTGCTGGTGTTCAGTAATTTTTAAAACGCAAGTCGAATATATAGTGGAAAACTCTTAGAAGAGATCTGGTGTGGTCAGATCTATTATGACTAAAAATCACGGGTTGTAGTAGTAGTCGTTAGTGAGTCCCCTTATTACCCTGAAAAATTTAAGGGAATTGAGAAAAAAGTTCAAGTTTTAACAAACGCCAGTAGCAGTTGGCTTGATAAAAATGATAAGTGACCTACGAATGGGCTAGCTATCCAGGTATTTGTCACAAGAAATACTGCAATGAATGCTCAAAGACTTTGAGAATTCCAATTATTTGATTAAACAGATTATGGTTTAGTATGTAAGGAAACACCTGTAATTTGGCAAGACAGTACTGGTCAGCCCAAACAAGCTTCGTAACCACGGCAATATCATCGGATCGCATCAGAAATCTTTCACATTCATCAATCACGAATTGGATTTCGAATTTATCACCAAGTTCCAATAAAAATTCTACATTTTCAGCTGAAAAAAACAACTTACAAATGTCGAATATGACAACCCGTTCTCATTTTCTCAGTAATTCATGACATTTTGATCATTAAGTTTGACATCCATCAGGATTTTTATGCATATCTTTATCTGCTACCTTCACCCACTCCTTTTTTCCTACTTAATTATTTTCCACCCAAATTTGGCAAATATTTACCTGATACTGGTTTATGAGAGGGATATACAACACTTAGTAATTCAATGAATTCATCCAGAATTACATCCTCAACAGTGATTTCTTTTTTATCTCTTTCACTAAACTTCGAGAAAAACATAGCATGGAAAACAGGTGAATACAATGCCAAATACTGCAATAAGTTTTAAACAGAAATAACAAACAAAACAATCACATATTAAATAACTCCAGAATCAATTTTTGATTTGTTACTATGGTCACTGTTGATGTATAAGAAACTTTATTTTCATTTATTTTCATTCTTCTTGCCTAGTGGCATATATAAATATGGCGAAAATACCTATTTTTTCCTTTCCCTTTCCTCCTGATTTTTCTCACTTTATAACTTTTTAAATAGGAATAAAAACAAAGTAAACGACAATACCGCTTTGCTAACATGCAAACGAATACCATCAATGACAAGTACACCATCTGATGTATGTGGCTGTGGTATAGTGAAATCAAATGTCGGATTTTTCCTGAAAGCGTAAAAATTAAGTTGCAGACAGATTTTATTTTATTAGTATAAAGCTATAGAATTCAAGACTTTCAACTCTTAACTTGGACCTTAAATTAAGATATTGATGACACAAGCTAGATAGCTCCTCACCCTTAAGTAAAGCAAACTAACGAAAAACATCAGACCAAACACAGTATTATTAAGAATTTAAATATAAAACTTCTTGAAAATCCAACCCAATTATTCATTTATTTCAAGTTATCCACATACTAACATATTTATAGGGGAAAGACTTAATAAAACAAGAAGCTAATAATGTTAAGGCAATAAAAAAGAACCAAAAAACATAACAAGTTTTACCTCACACCAACAACTTTCTGTACAGTAATATGCGCTTCAACAACAACACGATCACCACGGATAAAACCTTTATCGACATTTAATATTTCGCTCCACTCCATAAATGATGGAAAGCCCCAGTTATTTGAATTATAATTAAACTTATTTGTGAACTGAAATAAATTATGAAAAGCTAAACTATGAGTCCAAATAACAACTTAAAAGTATATTAGTTATTCGAAATGACAAACCCACCAATAATGTAAGCAAATGACATGTTGCATCAGATATAAATCGTCAGGCAACTGGTAACAGGAATTTAAATCACTTTTGTAGATTACCTGACGACTAAAATTAGGAGTGTCAGCTTTTTGGGAAATCAATCGGAACTCAACGATGGCATCACAACTCCACAAAGTTGATTCACTTTCCGGGTTGCAATCTATGTATACACTAAAGAATTTTACATTGCTGGTTCGTTTTGTACATTCCGTCTTAGCTGCCAAACGCCTGCAATGCACAACTTATTTTATCTGGTAATGAATTTGATTCGGTAAGTTTATAATAGCAGTGAGGTACCGCGAGTCTACGAAGGTTTACTTAAAATCATTTCATAGCTAGATAATCATTTGTTTTGAAACTATTCGTTTATCACTGCAAAAATCATTTGTTTCATTCTTTTGAACTGAGTGAAGGATCGCTCTGATTTTTCTTAAATTTTGGAAGGAATAGCTCTGCTTTACCACTGATTAATTCCTTCGATATCTGTACTGAGAACGACGAAGTTATATCCCTAAATTACATCCTTATATTTTGAATCATTTTCTGCAAGGAAACTTACCATGGTAGGTTCGCAATTGTATGGAATGATGTTGTTACTTTTTGTCTCAGTGCTCCCATATTCGATATATTAAGCTTTATTGAACCTTCGGTTTTCGAGTCTGTAATTATTTATGGTAAAATTCATCAAAACGACATCAACTTGAAACAAGCGAACTCCAGAATGTCTACGATAGAATTTCTGGTTCAATATAACACAGCCATAATTTTTGATGAAAACTTCACCATGCCGTATAGCATCATCCGAAGAACGTGCAAATTCAGAACCACAAGCAGAAAGATCGACTGATGGACGATGGGTAACTCCCGTACAAGCTGAATTATTCGGTGAAAACAAACGTTTCTGAGGAATGATATTTGTACCACTTTGTCCGGGGTTTGCACTTGAAATCGAACTCGAACCAGCAACATTTAAGTTTGAATTCTGCAATCGCAAATGATTCCGTTTTCTCGTAGTTGATAGTTGTGCCTAAAAAACCTATGCTCTCCATCGTCTAACAAAACTCACTCACTTAATTATTTATATTTTCTTTCAAGGTATTCCTATGATTGTGTAAGGTAATGTATAGGTTCAACAAAAAGAAATATCAGTTTTATATTGAAACAAAAAATATTGTTTCATTTGGTCTTGTAATTCCCGAATGCTCGGTAATTCTTTGGAAATGCCACTTTGAAAGATTCGAAATTTTGATTGAAAAAGCAAAAACAGAAAAGAATGTCTTACACGCAAATATGAAGAAATTTTCGGGGTATGAAGTCTTGAAATACATATACCAGGAATGCGTTCATTACCTCGAGCAAAAATACTGAGTGCAGGGCAATCCTGACATTCCAAAACCCAAAGTCTTCGTATGTCAGGGATAGCAAATCGCTAAACTAACTTAGAGCTATATGACTATACGCATAATTATAACTATATATGTATAGTTGTATACACATTGTTAACATATGTATATTACCGAAACCTAATTCTATGGAAAGCCTTTAATCTGTTCCTTTAAACTTTCGAATTAAAATCTGGATAGTTTATTTAATCAGAAAAAACTAACATTATTTGTAAGGAAAGCGCCGGATGATGAAGCTTCCGAAGCATTGTTACTAGGAGGATTAGGTAGTACTTCTCCCTGGAAAAAGAAAACCAATAAATTTTATGCCTTGATCATTAAAATTAGATCAGTGCTTGTATGGAGTGTTATGTTCTGTCACTTTAAATTAGATAGAAAACCTATATGTGCTCTTCATAATAAATATTTTGGGATAAGTTAATGGTAATAATGGTGATATAATAATGGTGATAGTTAATGGTGATATTACATAGCGCTTCCATGTAAGCATGGAGATAAGAAGTTTTGATTGATACATTAAATGACCATCATATTATTATCAAAGCATTGAGTACCAGTAGTAAATTCGAAAGTTACCTAACTAGCATGGAAATCACGAAATCGTAAAAATGCATCATATATGTGCAATACATGAAAGAAATTGTAGAGGACTAAAACACATTATGTAAGAGTGCGCTGTAGCCCACAGCACATGTCAGGCACACTTGCATCCAGAGTATGCGGATTTATTTCTGATTACGAAGTAGGTAAAGGTTCTCAATATAGGTAATCTTATTCCTACTCGCCATGTTGTATACAAATATCTTAATGCAAACACATGTAAGACATTTCCTTGAAATCTAACCTGCTGCTGCATCGCTGCATCGTGTGGATCTGCTTCATGTGCGGGAGTCTTCGAATTACTATCATTTTCATCACCAACAAATAACTCTTCATCCGACATTGCCATTCACTTCAAATGAAATCGACATAATCAATTTGAAACTAATATACTGCTTATATAGCTGAAATTATTCCAGCTAGCGAAAACTTGCAAATTTTATTGAAAACATCAAAAATTGAATAAAGTTAGAATGATAATGATGTAAGGCAATCAACTCATAAAGTAATCAAAAATGACAACTGAGTAATAGTCAATGGAAAACAAAAGCAAACAAAAGTGATAACAGAGAAATTATTAAAGTAGTGGTAAAGTTGTAAAATAAAAGAAAATAAAGTAATAAAGTATAATCAGAATAGCTGCTAAGAAAAAAACAACAAATAATATCAATAACGACCCGTAACTAGCACAACTAGCCAAACAATAACAATGGCCGCTTCTCTGTGAGCATTTTATATCAATAAATACTTTCGAACCAAACAGATTCGTTGTGTGACCGAGTCATGCAACATTGATTGTTTTTATGAGTGGATTGGATTTTTGTTTCATTTGTTTTTTTAATTATGTTTGTGGTTTTGTCTTTGTTTTATTCGTTTACTTATTTTGACATCATTTTTTTGATTAGGACAGTAAACAAACAAAAAGTTTTATTTAACATGAAAGCTTTTTTTTTTTTTTTGTGAGATATAAGTATTATGCTTTAGATTATGCAGTGTAGGTTAGATTATCTATACAGATAGAGAAGGAAAAATAAGTTTTAAAATCTTCCATTAAATGACATTGTGCTAACTCTTTTTTTTTTAAATACTATATCATAAAGAGTTATTAATTTAGTATTTTGGCATCTATTTCACTCACACATCTATATATACATATATAACTCAACATTTGTAGCATCTTAAAATGAAGTCAAGTGAAGACACTGCTAGACATTTTCTCATTTATATGCACATTTTTCACGTTGCATCTATCGTTAGTTACGTCTTAATCTTTCATTTAAATATTCTTGAAGTGTTGTTCCCTGTTACTTTAAATTTTTACGCTATGTACTTTTTGATGGAATTTTTACTATTACTTGCTCATTTTTATGATATGTTTTTGTCGTTATACACACATTTTCATACAAATTTTATCTCTTTATAGATGTTCTTGTTTGATATTTTTTATTGCATTTATTTTTCGTGTGATTTTGCAATATTTGAAGAAATTCATATGATGCATGCCTTTTGTCTTTTTATTTGCATGTTCCTGCATGTTGTCTTTGTTTATTTTCATCTACTGTACTTTTGTGTTGCTATTTATTATTAGTCGACTTAGTTTTTGGTTTGCTAAAAGTTTTATCTTTTTTATTTGCCAGTTATCGATTGGAACGATATCAAAATGTGCGCATGAAAATTGTCGAAGTATATGAAATGTAGTAGTGTGCAGTGTCAACATAAGTGAACTCGCAAATGCAAATTTGATACATATCATAAAAATTTTCTTTAACAATGGATAATCAGACAGAATTGTTGGTGGGCTTGGTTTGTAGCGATGAAGAATTGGTGGAGTACTACGTTCAGTTAATCACCGAAATTAAGCGATTTACTTTAAAAGGTATCTTTTTAACACTATTTGAATTTTTAGTGGAATATTTCAAAAAGTTTTTCGAATTTGGCTTCTTATAATTGCGGTTGTCATATTGTAAAAATTTGTTTGACAGTTGAATATAGACGTAAATAAATATTGTTATATTTTATATATCATTTTTTATACTTATTATATTCTCTTCCTCTTTTTTGCTAATTTTGTATTACTTGCTATTTATTTGATAGGAAGAACTGTTCTTAGTTTGCTTTTTATTTGAATTTGGAAGAAGTTACAAAGCTGTATGGGCAACTGGAATTATCAGTAATGCATAAAACCATAATGCTAATTGATAGCAATTAGTTAAGAAGAATCACCTAGTGTTAGTCTTCAATTTCGTTACTATGGAATTTGCATCAACCACAATATGGTTGATGCAAATTCGAGAAGAGGAAAAGAATGCGCAATAGGTGGAATATTAATACTCCAAAGCTCTCCAAAGATGGACTTGTATCGAAAAAACTGTGATCGTTATTTAATGCGATGATTATTTTCTGATTTTTTTAAGGTACTTTTCAAATTTTTTTAAGTAATTTTTTTTAAGTACAAAGTTTTTTGTTGTTTCTGCAGCACAGATCCACGGATTATAGATTTCCAAATTACATGAATTCCTACTTTGTTTAATAATATATACTGTTTATAATGAATTCGTACTCAGTTTTCTTATTCTTTTCTTCACCATTATGCTTTAATAATTTCATTAAGTATGTCTCTTACTTATTTTCCTGTACATTTTGTCTTTCGTTTTGAGTGTCACTATCCAGTCTCACTATTAATATTTCATTTCATTCCTTCCGAAGAATATGGCATAAAGTTCCTTAATTACTCCATGATCTCAACGCATCATTTGCTATATTTTGAAAATATTTCATTTAAATTTGTTGCAAAAGAGTTTTATATATTAAATATTTATAATCACATTACAGATTTATGATATTTGCTACAAAAGAATCCCAAAGTTTGTATACATCATTTGAAAATGGCACTGAACAATAGCACGATTAATAAAGAAAGCAAGAAAGTATTAACATAAAAGTTGTTATGTAGCACACAATATTAAACAGGAAAAGAGATTTAATAAAACTGTTCTATTAAAAATTATGGGAAGCTTAAATTATAGAATTTAGAAGAAATATTAATATTAGTGGGTCACGTTTTATCAAAAATTTGAATTTTTGTTTTGCAAATTGGATGGTTTCTTTTTTTGGTAACAAAATTATGTTGCAGTTCCTACCTGCACATTTTCACAACCCACTGGATCACATTTATCAAAATTTTTTTTTCAGCGATTTGGTGTCCCGATACAGAGAGAAGTATAGATATTGCAGCCAATAATGATGTACCATCCGTGTCGCATACGGCATTTCAACTAATTTCAAGGAATGATATTAACACGGTTGTCATCACTGGCCATGCTGCTCACAGTGCCTTATTTTGTATGCAAGCACAAGGTTTTTATTCTGCAATAACTTATTAATATGATGTGAAATTTTCCAAGAATAAAATTGTTTAATTTTGGTGGGAGTTATTTTTAAAAGTGCTTTATTTTAGCTTTGAAGAAGAAAGCAATATGTATCGGTGCAGCTGCACTTTCTGAGCAAACTGCTCAACTGTTGGCAGAATTTTCGGAGAAGAATAACACATTTCTCCAGATTATCTATCCATTGAAGTATTCAACGCCTGTAGAACTAATTAAGGCAAATATCGCAGAAATAGGTTCAATTCAAAGTATAAGTGTGGAAGCAACATTTGAACAACCTCACGATGCTAAGCATCGTTTGTACAATGAATGCAACACTGTTCTTCATCAAGTAAGCCATGAAATTGTCGATACTCTGAGTGCAATCTGCGGTTGCAATCCAATACCAATTGCAACTACATGTCATCAACGAAGCACTTTGGTGGAACATTTTCGGTTGCAAGAATTGCAATATATGCATATGCAGATTGCATTTAGTAATATAGTTGCAAGCATTCGATTTGCTGTAAACACAACCAAAACATTGGTTTTGCGGATTAATGGCGAGTTGGGATTCTTCCAGTTAGATCCTCGTATGCTTGTACTGGAAGGATGTGAAGATCAAGGAGTACTGTGGCGTGGTGATGGTACAATGGAAAGTATCATTCGCACTGGCACTTTGAAAGCCCTAGAAAACTGTGACTGCAATAAATTGTCAACGGATGTCAATGAACTGAGTCTGGTGCAGTGTGTTTCGATTTGTCGTTTCATATGAATCTATTAAATATCTAAAACCTTCAGTTGCATTATTTGTTGTTTTTTTAAGACTATAGTTTCGTTTTGTTTCCAACTGATTTCTAGTCCTAGATTATCCAGAATTAGTCCTGTGAAAGGATGCAGCAAAACATCTGGTTGACAAATATTTCATGGTGACATTTTGTTTGAAATTTATACACTCTTTGAAATGGTTATTTGTTAGAAAAGACGATTATTATTTCTTGAAGGAATAATTTATTAATTACCCATAAACAACACTTTGTCAGTTATGACTGACTATAACAATACAGTCGAAATTATATTTTTTTCGCAACTTATCAGACGAAATATATGATATACATGTATACAAATGCTTGAAAATCAATAATTTTGTATTTTGAATTAAAAAAATATAACAGCTTTCTGAAGATGTGAAAACAAACCATTTAAAAATTAGGAGGAATTTTCAATTTTTTTTTTTTTTTTTTTTTTGTTTGAAGAAAGTATTTTTTTTAGGAGGAAGACTCTGATGAGGGTTCTTTTTTGTTCTTTTGGTCATAAGTCCAGAATTCAGGCACGAATTCTTTTTTTCGATATTTCATCGCGTCGATCATCAAACTAATTGCCATTATACGATTGTTATTTAGGAAATTGTACAAATCTTCACTCAATCCACTTGATTTTACTCTTGTTACAGCTAGACTAACTGCTTTTTCCAATGTTTGTTGAGCATCTTTTTCACGTCCTGGAGGAATTTTGCCAGCAAAATACAACCGGATTAACTCATTTTCCGTTTCTGATGCTGCAGCATTTTTAAACAATTGTTTGTTCATTATGATCCCAAGAACTTGACATGCGGGTGTGGACAGAATGACCGGTTCAGCATCAAACATATCGTCCGGACAACTATCAGCTTTATGTGAACCACTGGTACTAATATTGCTTGTACCTGCCACTTCTGCTGCAACCAAGTAGGCAGATTCCTGATTTGAACTTATAAGTGGTACGATGTATTCTTGTGAGCCTTTAATAGTTGGCGTAGATTGCTGTATGAATTGAGGAGTTACTAGTGATGACTCGGAAGGTGTTTTAGAGCCAACTGGCATACTACTAGCACTAGGTACTGATGTCACTTCTTTCTTCTTCCTATCAATCCTGTAAAGTCCATTTTTTTAAGTTGAGTTCAATAATTCTAATTAATACAAACGTGTTCATCAAATATACTTTACAAAAAATTTAAAGCATTCTATTCTATTCTTTCTTCCTTTATTTACATTCATTGAGATACAATGCTTATTGTATCAGTAACTTGTTTTACCAATTATTTAAAAGTTTACTTCGTTTTTTTTCTCATTCATTTATTTTATTCTAAAGTTAGTTAATGAATTTATCTCCAAAAAAAAAAAAAAAAATTTAAATATTGGAAGCACAACTACACTATATATTATATTACCTATCAAATGTTGCTTCGTATTCGGATTCCTCATCTTTAACTTCAGTAACAGTTTGTTCTTCTGTATCCATTTCAGTATCGGTATCCTCCTTTTCCACCGTTTTTGTTTCCTTTTCAGTTGTTTTTTGTTCCTTTTCAATTTCAGTTGGCGAAACAGCAGTAAGCGATTTTGATAATTTCAACTTCTTTTTTTTTTCTTGTCGTTTCATTTTCTTAGGTCGATGTTTTCTCTGAAAGAATCTGTGAACGCTTTTATCTTATTCATTTTTATCTAATTCATTATTATTATTCTTTATTATTATTATTGTTATTATTAAGTTGCTATCATTACCTGTTATCATTGCTGTTATTGTTATCAATAACATCAATAAAACTAGTATTAATTACTTATTGAAGACTTTACTATTAGATTACATAAAGCTGTTGATAAGATGATGCATGAAAAATGGAAAAGAAAATGAGAATAAAAATTGGAATAAAATGAAAAGGAAAGGAAAAACAATTGTTACTGATTATTCTTCTAAAATACCAAATTTTATTTTGATTATTACAGAATCATACGATGTCATTTGTTTATTGTTAGTCATTAAAACTGAAAATTTAAATTATACTTTCTCTTTGCCTTCTTCAGAAGGGACAGAGTTTGGTTTTGTACCTTCCTTCCATTTCAGGACATTTTGTTTTTTCTTCTTACTTCGTGCTGGTCTCTGCTGTACAGCCACCTGAAAGAAGAATTTTTTTCAGACATTAGTTGTTGAAAATTTTCTGTACAATGCAAATATGTATATATATATATATATATATATTTTTTTTTTCATGTAAATGGCTTAATTGTGTAATAATTTGTCAATTTATTATAAGAATGCATTGGAGTGTTAAAAAATTTTTAGATCATATGATTTGAAATAAATGAATTATTTAAATTCAAACTGGAATGTTGAGATTTTGGTGCCTTCAAAGTACACAATTTATTTTTTCCAATGATATAATTTAAATAAAATTTATTCTGCTCTTGGTGATAACATTTAATTACTCTAATATTACTTTAAAATGGCATACAAATTATGTGTGAGGAATAATTTTTCAAGTAATAATTTCTGAAAGAAAAAAAAAATATTACTTGTACCTAAAACTTATCCAACTGCAATAGAGGAAATAATTTGAAATTTATTTTCAAACATTAAAAATTAAATAACATTTTTAAATATTGGAAAAATCGCCATACTTTGCAACATTGGTGAAATTAATTTCTTCATTTATTTTATTAGTTAATAATATATGCAACAGATTATTTTTATTTATTTATTTATTTTCAAATTATGAATATTGAATATTACATAATTATGGATAAGTGCTCTTAAGCCACTCTAAATTTAATAGTAAAATTCGCAAAGTATTATTGAAAATATTACCTTTAATTAATATTACCTTTAATAATATATGAATTTCAAATTGATAGTTTTTTTTTTTTTTTTTGAAATTTTTTCCCTACCTTTATTGCATATTCCATTGAACTTTTTAGGTATTTTTTTTTAATATAGTAAATTATTATATAAATAGAGTAAATTAGATTGCATTTACTAAATTTTTTATAAACATAATTACTCAGCTGTTTTTGCTCATTTTAATTTTTCTTCATTAAAATAGTTCTAACTTCAATGAGTAAAAGAATAAAGAAATAAGTCAGTCAACAAACAACAAGAAATAATGTTATAGTACTTTAACACATAGCTAAATAAATAATATGATAATATATCTAAACAAATAACTAATCAACAAACCTTTTCAAATTCTGTATTTTCTTCTTTACTATCAATCGTTTCTTTTTTATGTCGTAAAAATTTCATTCGCATTTTTCGAAAATTTGATGGTAAGCCAATAGTTTTTAATTTTTCTTTTGTTACTTTCAACCTAAACAATTCACCTCCAACTGTACTTGCAGGTGGACTTGCAGATGTACTTGCAGTTGAACTTGCAGTTGAACTTGTAGCAATACTACTACTACTACTACCACTACTATCCTGTATGGATGATGACTGCTGTTGCTCTTGTTGTTGTTGTTGTTGTTGTTGTTGTTGTTGTTGTTGTTGTTGTTGATCAGATGATACTGTATCAGTAAGCAATTTTTTCCATTGATTTTTTAAACGACTAGCCATTACAATTGATAATATTAAAGAAGCAACAATTGTTAAACTTTCAATTAACCAATCCTTTTCCATATTATATAACAGAAATAAACATTTCACATCTACTTTTATACTATTTATAACATTGATATATTTATGCAAATATTTAATAGAAATTTAAATATTGCAATTTTAAAATTTTGAAAAAAAAAATTTTAATTTCTTTCTTTTTTTTTATAGTTAACGTTCATTTATCATATAGAAAATGAACCTTTTTTTTTTAAAAAAAATAATTCTTAAATATATTTTCATATATTTTTCTACATTTAGCTAATTTGTGCTAATATTACTAATAATGCTAATTGTTTGCATAATGAAAAAGAAATGTTTCATGTAAAAATTGCTACTATCAGTAATTTTATATCGAATTGAAAATTTTTTGTGGCAACAATCTTTTTTCTAAAAAATTTCTAAAAGAGAAACTTAAACATATAGTTTATTAATTATTAATTGATTATATTAATAGTTTGTGAAAATGTCAAATAGTCAGATAAAGTTTACTAATTAAGTAATAGGAAAAAATAATGAATTGCTATTTTAGTTTATCATTGTTTTTCGTTTTTTTTTTTTCATCAAATTCTTCCTACTCAAATTTTTTACTTTTATTTAGCTTTTTCTTTAATTAATTTATTCATTTAAAATTTCGTTGAAATTTTTTTGTTTTTTTTTTTGTATTCAATTTTTCATTACTCTTTTTAATTCAATTTTTTTTTTTGACTTAAAAGCAAAAAGTAAATCAATTATTCAATTCGTTTTCTTTTTTCTTTCCGATTTAATATTTAGCAATAAATTAAACTTATTTATATGACAACAAAAAAAACAGAACGAAAAAAAGAAAATTAAATGAAATGAAATGAATAATCATCATCTTACAAAAAATGAAAAATTTGCAAATTCTTACAATTACTCTTTCTTATGTGAAAGTAATTTTCGGATGAAAATTGTTGACCTGAAATAGAAATTGAGCTTATGCAATTTTTGCCAACAGAAATTGCATTTTTTTTTTCCATCAAAATTGCATACCTTTAATTGACAGGTAAAAGGATGGAATTGAGTGGATATTGAATAAGAAGAAAGATGAAATACTACTTATGATCGATCTACCTATGTGACAGAAAAGGTTGGTAAGAATTGAAATCAATGGCAATCAAGGTTATGTAGTAACAAAAAGGAAAGAAAAAATGGAAGAGAGAAAAGTAAAAAAAAAATGAATGAAGGTCAAGAGTAATGATAATTTTCATGCATGCAAATTTATTCATAAAATTTATAACTTTTAATTGAAAATAATTTAATTTACTTAAATTTTCGCTTCTTTTTGCTTCTTCATATTTAATTGATTCGAACTATTTAAGAGGAATTACATGTATCGTTTCTATGAATTTTACACAAAATTTTAATTTAATTATCATTTTAAATTTAGCAACTTCTCTTCTTTCTTAGTTTATCATTTATTCAAATTATTTAGTGATAAAATGTATATCTCATTCGTTGTAAAATTGTTTGTTAAATTTTTTTTTTTTTTTTAATTTTATTTAGCTTTGGCTTCATTTTCTTTCTATATCATCCTCAAAATATTTTATTAGCTCATAATATGTGTTTCTTTCTTCATAACCTAAAATGTTTTATAATTTCAAATAAATTTTAAGATTAAATTTTCCTTTGCTATAAATTGATATTACTGTTTACTTCATAAACAATTTATATATGTAGTTTACACAATTTTTTTTTAATTTTACAAAAATTTGGAATGTTTTATGAATTAAAAATATTATTCTCTTAATATATTATTTTTTTTTTTGATTTCATTATTCTATTATATTATTATCAAATTAATGATTACATCAAATTACTAATAATAATATATTGCTGTTATTAATATGTTTGAAAATTAAATCTGCAATGCCACATCTGTTCAGGATGAAAAAAAGAAAGAATTACATTAATTATATCATGTAATTATCATATTTATCATCAAATATGAGTACTGGCTACGATATTCGTTGTACCATTAAAATAATTGTTTATAAATTTTATTTGAAATCAAATTATTTTATTTGCTGTTTTCGAGGTTTTACCTTATCTTATTCATATTTCTTATTGTCATGTATTTTAATATTTCCACAATTTCTCTTTTTTTTTTTAAAAAAAAAAATTTAAATTCAGTAATATTTTTGAAAAATAAAATTTTACAATTTTATATAATGTTATCATCATTATCATATCATTTATCAACAAAAGGTATACTTATTTATCAGATTAACGTTTGAATTTTTTGAAATAAACAATAATATATTACTTCGAGTTGGACATCTGAATTTTATCATACATATCATTGATTGCATTAATTATATTGAATATTATTTATCGATTAAACTAAAGTTTTATTAAGTCAATAAATGATTGCACATCAATAATTTATCTTATGTGATCCGATATGATTATTAACAAATTGAATTCCTCCTAGCAAAGATGAAAATAGGTATAATTTAAGTATGAAATTAATTGTAACACTTATTTACAGTTAATAATGTATATGTGAAAGAGGAAATGTCAAAGGATTATATATATATATTTATTTATTTAGTAGGTCAAATTCATAGCTGATGACACAATGATCTGTTGTATTGCTTGATGATTATTTGTGATCTTGAAAAGACGAATCATGGATAAGGTACTTGACCTTGAATGAATTGTAAGTGAAAAGTATCACTCTTTCATTTTGGTTTATACCTTTTCATCCGGTGATCCACCTCCTCCTTCTTCTCACTTCTTTCTTCCTTCTTTTATCAATCATACCTAACCAGATCAACCTTGTCCTTCCTTCATTTTCAATTTCTAATTCTTCCTCAATTCATCTCAAACTACATTTTCATTAAATTTATACCATCCCTTTCAACCCAATCCTTTTCACCATTAATCTCTCTCTCTCTCTTTTTTTTTTTGTCCCATCCTTCTTTTCTTCCTTTATCTAAGAAATCATTTGTATTAATTGTTACAATTGTTATTCGTCCTCAAATACCACAACAACAATCATCATCATCATCATCATCATCATCATCGTCATTGCTATTATCGTCATTTTCTTATAATTGACCATAAAACTGTCACTTTTTGGCACAGCAGTTGAATTTTCAAATTCAAAATTTTCGAGACTATGCTCTTCTATTTGGATATTCTGATAATATTACCATTAAACTGTTTCGCTATTACCTACATCGAGAATTCTATCTTAGGTAATTGTTTATTTTTATTTTTTAAATTTATTTTGAAATTACAGATGTGATTTTAGTAACAAATCGTTTCACTTTCTTGCAAATGCATGATAATTTGTCACATTTTATCAAGAAATTTTTAAATTCTGAATTTTCTGACACACTTATCATTTCTTATTACATTCTTATTCAATTAGCATATAAGTGAATTACAATTTATGATAGTTACATGAGTTAGCAATATGCTTAAATGATAGCTTTATAAATTGTTTATAAATGATAACATAGTTATAGAAATAAACTAATGATATCTATTACCTAATTTTATTCATTGATTTTATTAATAAATTTTTTTTTTTTTGGAATTCAAATATTTATCATATAGTTGATAAATAAACATTTTTTTTTTCTTTTTGAAAATATTTATTGAATTGTAGCAGATAAGAATATTAAAGTGAATCAGTTTATTCGATGTAATACCTAAAACTGCAACTTATTAGTGCAATTTTATACTTAAAATTTTATACTTTTATTGCTTAAAGTTAGCAATGAAATTAATTGACATTTTTCTATTTCATTTACCTTTAAAGCTAATTGAAGTTGAACATTTGAACAAGAAAAATACAAAATGGAAATTTTAAATGACTGAAACAAAGAGAATATAATTTACAAATTTGATGATGCAAAAAAACAAATAAATAGGTATAATAAATGTGATAATTTCAACTTTATAATTTTGATAGTAGCATAGATATAATACAATTTGACAAACAATTATTGCATAACCATTAACTAAGAATTGCTTTGAGATTTTATGATAATATTTTGATAATTCATTAAACTTAAAGTCAATGTGCAAATTTTCCTCCAACTACAAGATAACATAATTTTTATTCTTTAACTTCAGATTATTAACAAATCCAAAATTCCGGTTAACCTTAATAAAATTGTCAATTTTCAAAGAATTTATTTTTAAAATTTATTCTTCAAACATATAATTTATAAGTCCAAACTTATTTCTTTGAAAGGGAAAAAAAAGTTAGGAAAGTCAAAAATCAAACAGTTATCCGACAAATAAGTAAATTTTTTTTTTTTCTTATTAATGGATCAAATTTATTCGGATAAAAGATTTATGGAAGCCAAAAAAAAAAAAGTAGTAATGCGGAAGGACTTCTTTAACCTTGAACTAATTTAAACTTATTATTTTTTTTTTAAAAAAAAAAAGGAAAATGGAAAGAATTGGAAAAAAATTGATTGTCTGCAGCTATTGCTATAAATTTTGGAATGTGCTCTTTGCTACTAAATTTAGATTATAGTTTACAAAAAAAAAACCTAAAAAAACTTTCATCACATATCTGATTGCGACACGAAATTTTTAAAATAATTTCATAAATTTTTGCAAAAAAAAAAAATTCTATGCATCAATTATTAATTATCATTATTATTAATTACATTAGTAAATAATTAATAATGATAATTTGTAAATCACATTGATATAAAACAAATATTTAAGTCTGAAGTGAAAATATAATTAATGCAACTTGAAATTATTGAAATAAAAAATATGTTAGAATGAATGCAACCATATCATTGTTTAACAATTATTTACATGAAAAAAAAAAAAAGGAAAAAAAAATATTAATAAATTTTCATCATCATTAATTTATTTACCTTTTTAATTTTTTTTTTTTTAAAATTTACTTACCTTTTAATTTTCATTTCTTATTTGCAATATATAAAATGTTAGTAAAAAAAAATGTACTCATTAATTTATTTACCAAATTTACTTACCTTTTAATTTTCATTTCTTATTTGCAATAT